TAATATATTGGCGTTGGAATCCAACGAAATAATAAATTAGTAGTTATTAAAATGAAAAGTTCTAACTTATTAATATTAAATATTGTATATACTAATTACTTAATGGACATTATTATTTATGAACGTATTTTTTTGAGAATGTCAAGTGTCAACAGCAGTTGTTTGCAAGATCAGAGTGTGCACACCGCAGCAATAAATTAATGGTGAAACTAATTATAAAACTCCCACGTCCCCAATCAGTTATGTCAGAAGTCAAATGAGTTGCCATTATGCGGATGCTTCAACTGACAAATCCAGTGAAACAAAAAGCAGAACCCTTGGCTTTTTGCATACATCAACACCAGCATAATGGGCGTGTAAAAACTGTCAGGCAGTTTTAACTTTTGCCACATATTAAGCATACGCGCCATTAACATCCTTCCTCTTCCGCTCGCTAACACGTGGCGCACTAAACTAATAATAACTTTTACACGCACAATTTGGTGGTGTTTCCACCACCACCCATCGCTCACACCATCGATTTCCGTCAATATTTGTTTTACTTAGGATAACCGAAAACTTTTTTGCATATTACACAGAAAACTTAACGCGAAAACTTAATCCAAAATACATAAGTAAACATAACATGAGATTATCATAAACTTACAGACAATTTATTAGGCATTGTTTTAGGCGATAGTGTGCGGGTTTTTTGAGTAAACTAAGCCCTGTTAAACGCCTTGAGGATTAAAACATGACCACAAAAACATTATGGTTATTTATTCGCACTCCACTCCTGTACGCTTTCGGATTTGTTTATTTATCTGTTTGTTTGCTTTGTTGTCAAGCGTTTCGGTCGAAAACTAATTAGCAAATTAAAACTTGTAATTTATTTATTTGCGGCACAACTTTGAAGGCATTTGTTTAACTAGATTTTCCAGCAAACTAAATCAGGCCAAAGGGCATAAAATACCGCCCGAGGTGACTAATAAGACAATTTCGGTTTGCTTTGTATATGAACATTCTTTGAAGTTTGTGGCTAAAACTTAATGAGTTAAGTCAACAGAATTTTCGATGAGTTGAGAAATTTGTATCTCCATAAATTTAAACGATTTCTATTCTAGGAATTATTTTACAAACTTATTAAAGCAATTATTAGGAGCCAAATTAAATTTGATTGGCCTTGCAGTTCTGAAGGTCAGTATTAGCTTGTTGGTTTGCATATAATTAAAAATTACACATTATAATCAAAATTTTTCCAAATGAAAATAAAATTAAGTAGTGTAAAAATATTGTTATATAAATAAATTATGGGAATTCATGTAATGCAGCAATTAGTAATTTGAGTGCCTTTTTAAACGCTTGAATATTTTCCTCTTCACCCAGCTAATCCGATTAAAATAAAATACAACACAATTTTTGATTTCATATACTTAACATGAAAACTGATCCCACCATAAACCAAATATTAAATATTATGGCGAAGGGAAGGCGTCCGAAAATGCCACCCAAATGTGGGATAATGTAGACCCAGGGAAACCCTGCAGCTTTCAGTTGTCAAAGGGACAGGCTCCGCACTTTTTTCCCCACCATCCTGTCAGTTTTAATGTGATGCGCTTTGTTGCCTTTTGGAAAATGTAACTTCCTTTTTTTTATATTTTTTTTTTTTGTTGCCTCACAAAAACTACTTTGACTATCTCTGCCTTTTGCGACCCAGTCTGCGTTTGTGTATCTGTGTGTTTGCTATGGCTGATTTGAACAGCTCTGACATTTGACGCCACTTTGCACACATTTTCCTTTTTTCCCCCCTTTATTTATTTTGCTTTGCTGAACAAAAAAGCAAAAAAATAGGAACAACAAAAACGAATTCTAAAGCAGCATATAAAATAGAAAAATGTTTACGGCGTGCAGCAAAAAAAAAAAGAAAAGAAAAAGAAATAAAAGTAGTGCCAGCTGCCAGTCATTCATGGACTGACATATGGCTCACCAGCAGGTGGGCTGCGGTGGTGGGCAGGGGGCATGGCTGGGCTTGTTAGTGTGCCAGTTATGCGGCCATAAATAGCTGACGGCAGCTCACCTGCCACTGCCCTCGAGTCACGCCCCCCGCCCGCACCGCCTCTGACTGCACGTTAATAGTTTAAAGTGAGCCCTTTTGACTGCCCCTCTTACGAGTGGGGGAAAAACCTGGTGGGGAAAATGGAAGGAAAAGCGGAAAGGCAAGAGCATGCTGCCTGGCTGATGACTCGGGCGCAGTTCACTTTGCTGCTCAATTTAACACCAACAAAAAAGAAGGCAGCCACTTTAGCCAAACAGCAAGCACCGCTTTTCTACAGGGTACATCAGGGTGTTAAGGTAAATTTGGAATATTGAAAGAAGAGATGGTAATAGGTAAGATTATTAAACCTGTGAGTATATGTTAGAAATTTCTTTCTTAATATGTAAAAAAAAACATAATAAGCTCACATATAACTATGATTTAGTTAAATAGAATCCACTAGAACTGCCCAAATGAACATGTTTCCTTTAAGAACTTGATTATCCACACTCTCTGGGTCGTATGTTGTTTACCTTTGATTTCATTCAGTATGACTTAGTCCATTCACTAGCAAGGATTTCCGCTTACCCTGCCATAATGCCAGAGTGCCAAAAAATTAAGTCAAGATAGCTGAGAGCGAAAGGGAAAAACAGAACAAAAATGCAATTTCAACTGCCAGCTATGTTTGCTCATCGTGTTTGCGTGTGTATTTGTATTTATTCAGTATATTGTAGCTACACACATTCGTTGAGGTCCTTGGAGTTTTCTTCCTAAACGCTTTCCACTCGACTCGCCTTCCCTTCCATTTGGGGTCTTATTTATACGAGTTTGGCTCCAGAAAATAAAGAGTGTGTGTGGATGTGTATTTATTTTGCTCATTTCTCATTTTCTTTCCTTTTCTGGGCCAAAAGAAGGAACATATTACGTGCTAGACTTACCTGCAAACTAAATAAAGCAAAGAGCTAAATTCTAAATTAGATTCTATTTGTCTTAACCCATACTTGAGTATGAAAGACCTGAAAGGCGAGGAGTTCATTCCGTTTTTTCATTTCATTTTTCAATGAAAAGAATTTTCAAGTTTGACTTGAGCATTCAAACGACTGAATGATGTGTGCGAGTGGAGAACTTCAAGCAGCCTTGCCATTAACACACATCAGCGAAAAAAAGGGGTGAAAGCACATTGCATTTCGTATTCCTGTCCAATATTTAATTAGTTTCTAAAACTTCTTCTTTGCACGCAACTTTTGGCAAAATTCAATTAAGTTACAAACAAAGAAAAAACTGATTAAACAGTTTAACAGATTCTGCCATGTATTGGCAGTGTTTAGCCAAGTCAAATATTGAAAGTTTGTTCAACACTTTCGCTTGGCTACCAAAAATTGTATTTTCAATTTATGTCATCTGCCAAACAATCCGAAATAAAAAAAATACTGAGAAACATAAGCCAAACATATCAAGGACTCGGGCAACATATGCACTTTGTTTACATGCAAGATAAATAAATTTCACTATACTCTTTGCTTGGTCAAATTGAGATATTATTCAAGCAGCTTTAAAACGATTGGAGACTGCATTTAATAAAATGCTTTTGCAGCCGAAAGGATTGCCCCAGCAACTGTCGTCTTTTCAATATTACGTATACGCAACGAGCGCCCGCTGGCCATATTAATGCTTCCTCTTTTACCCGGCAGCTCTGCTCTTTTATGATGTGTGACTGCCAACCTCGGTAACGTTGCTCTAGCGTTAAAGAACATTTATTTTTGTTGAAAATATACATTTTATCGTACTTATATTTATGCCCAAGTTGTGGAAGCTTTTTGTGTTTCGTGTAAAAGCAGATTATTGCTTCCGTCATGTGGGAACCGATACAAAAACAAGGCAAAGGACCTTTCAAGTCTGTTTTTGTCTCTGGGAAAAATTAAACCTTTAAAATGCTTTTTTAGTTACGTTGACAAAAGAAGTTTCTGAGAATATTTCGGCAGTCGAATGAAATGGAACTTAATTATTTAGGGAAAATTTAAAAGTTGAAAAGAGTCCTATGCTAATGGGACAACTTTTCGTGGGATTTCATATTTTTCGGAAAACAATTGTCAAGCTCAACAGAAGTTTATAAACTTTCGCTAAGGGGATTGCAAAAATCCACGCTTATTTGTGAAGTGCAATTCGCATCCGTATTTGCCTTGAGCTCCCCTGCTCGAATAAAACTCATTAACGCACGTTCCCGTTCCGAAAACTAAACTACACAACTATCCAGAAAGTTTTGTTTGGTAAGACATTAGCAGGGAATAAGCAAATAAAACGAGGCAAACAAACGTCGCTGCATTTTGCTAAGGGAGAGCCGGAAAAACCTCCAATACGCTGTGCACTTTGTGAAAACTTATTTTGCTTTCGACTGAAAAAGGGGGACACAAACTTTTCACTTTGAGTAGATTGTAGTCTGATTTTCGTTGGCTTTCGGTTGTGCAGTTGCATATTCTTATAGTTCAGTCTATTTGGGTGAAGGCTTTGTCTGGTTCAGTAAAGGGCTAACATGTTAGTAACAGGCTAAGCTGAATTTTGGAAATGTAAAGCTGTATGTATCCAAAAATATATTTAAAATCAAAAACTACAAGCTGTACTTTAAATATAAGAAATTTAAATTATTTTTTTGTGATTGCTTATAATTTTAAGTTAATAATTTTTAATATTAACTTTTAATTTTATCTGTATTTATGGCTTAAGTTTGATTCTCTCTGTGTATAGTTAAGTCTGGGATATATGTGGTAAATTCGCCTCTTTTATGCCTGCCACGTTTTGAACATAAACGAATAAGTTTACGACTTCCTCGACCGCAAAGGAGGCACGCGCACAATTTGTCAATCAATAAATTTGCCATAATTAATGCTGCTTATTGGCATTTCATACACTAAGAGCATGCAACCAACGAATCTATTTTTATAGTACGAGTATCTATATCATGGCTTGCCTTCTTTTTTCTCATTTGCAGTTACAAAATTTGTACGCATTGGTATTGCCGACAAAAACGATTCACCACCATATTTCGATAGATTTCTGTACGAGACTGAAATCGATGAAAGTGCCGACTTGCAGAGCACTGTCCTCACTGTCAACGCCAAGGATCACAATGAGTGTGAGTAACAAGCCCAGCAACAGCACACATAAACAATAAACCATCCCTTCATCTAGTTTAATGTGATTTTGTCCTTCTATTAAATTGGATTTCAGCTTGAGCAAAGGATGTTCGTACTTAATCGCTCGAGCAAAAGAATATATATTGCATAAATTAACAATTGATTTAATTAAGTGTGTCTTTAATTGTAATTGTCCAACGAGTATGTGTTCAAGTCATGGGCAATGATTTGCATTTGAAAGATATTAAGATGTAGACAGCTGCTCCAGGGACTGAATCCATCAAGGATGTCAGTGAACTCTGGCGTTAAATATGCAAGAATTGTTTGAGCAATTAACTGCAAAACATTTACTAATTTATTTAAAGCTTAGTTATTTTGAATAGTAACAGACTTTTTATATTTGCATTACATTTTGAACTTAACAAAATATATAAGATACTTGCCTATTCATAAGCATATTAAAAACATTAAATAAATAATAAACAGCATCTTTTCTTAGCAACCATTTCTTTGTGAATTTTAAATTGATTTGTTCTGCTCAGATTACATCACATAAATTGCTACAATTAAGTTGCTTTGTGAACTGTGAAATCTTTCTGTTGACATCCCAGAAGAAATGAGTCAATGAGTCATAAAAGAAACTAAAATAAAATAGACCAGAAATTCGTAGTAAACAATACGGACTTTCTTCATACATAACTAAAATCCGGAATTAATTTACCTTTTCAGTTTGCCAACTTGCGTAAGAGCAATATCAATGTCATGGGAGAATAATTGCTTACTTGATTTTTGTCAAGTCATGCGACAACGACATTCTCAGTCAATTTGAGTCATGAATCCTATGACTTCCTTCCATAAAGCACAAAAAATTATATCACAAGAAATATACGTATAGGATGTCATAAACATTTAGAAAAAACCAATTTGGCAATTTCCCTTATGGAGCCATAGCAAAGTTATGCATAAATATTAAAGCAGAATATTTTGCCCTTCCACGCGGTCATAATAGACATTTACAACATTTATTTATTTTAATACTCATACATCGCAATGTATGTGGATGTGTGCAGCCATTGTCAAATATTATTAGACATCGGCCATGTACCGCAAATATTTACGAAATATTAACAAAGACAGGCTCATTGTTGCCAAAGATACAGCTCGTAGTCATGCATAAATCCATAAAATACAAAGACAAACACAAATGGAGGGCAAGTGAGCATCTAATATGCGTATTTGTATATCTGTCTATTGATTCCCAAGCGGAAATTATTATTGTTAATACAGCAAGGGAAAAGGAGAAAGTTCTTCTGCGTCTGCGGCAGATACGATTTGCAGCACGAAAAACATTCAAAATCTCATTGAAAGCGTTTAACAACTTTTTCGCAAGCAATGGGAGCACCAAACTTGCGGGTAGAACTTTCTTGTCTTTCTTGGCTCAGTCTCCCCAGCAGCAACAGCTCGCAAAGGACATCCGAGAAAGCTCAGAGTCCTTGTTGTCGCCGGCGCGACGACTGCGAAAAAAGCATTAACCCGAATTGGAAAAAAGCAGAGCAGCTCTCACAACAATAACACAGTGCTACAAAAACTAGTTTTTATTTAAACGAATAAAATTCTTTTTTTTAGTACAATTTACAATGAAATACATTTTCTTTAATTGGTCAATTAATTATTAATTACTTAAGCAGATTTATTTATACTAATTCAATCTATTGGCAAAAACTTCTAATATAAAAACTTAGCCAAAAGCGTACTAGAAATAAAACATTGGCCAGTGTAATCCTCCTAGAAAAAAGAAAATGGAGCCGACAAACGGAAAAATAAATGGGCACACGAAAATTTTGAACTACTCGACGAAGGGAGAGGATTTCAGTGCTATGTGTGAGTCGAGTCGCATAGAATATGAATTGAAGGCTGAGACTAACGAAACAGGGTCAGGACAAATCTTTTATGCGATTCCTTGGGTTGCCATGCTTGCGTCTACTTTGAAATACGAATGGAGCTGTAAAACTTTTGTGCCATTGCGTGCCACATTGCGAATTTATGAGCGAAAAGATTATTTATATGAGTTTGCCCGAGTGGTTGCCATGTGTTGGCCAAATGTTGTCACATTCGAACCAGTTCAAAGAAGTTCCACTTAGTCGGATGCAAACGATGCTCATTTATTTGCCTGGAATCCGATTCACTTTAAGAGCTCAATTTTAAAGACCCACCTAAAAGGTGGCTGGGAAATAAACAAGGAGTCCGACAACCTTTCACTGTGTGCCATAAAAACACTTAGCTGCCACTTCCAACCTTCAAATAAGAAGAAAAAACTGAAAAAAAGAGCACGCAAAGACCTAGAAAAATCTAAGACCAGGGCAAAAAAAAAACAAGAATGTTTTTCCCTCCGCTTTTTAAAATGACTTTTCATGCTAAATAAGTACACAGACAACAGGGAGGGATATTTTTACTGCCTTGGCTGCTCCCATGTGTGCCTGGGTCCCTGGTGTCTGTATATTAATTTATTATCATTATCAGTGATTTAAAAATGGCGTCATGACATCGTAAATTGTAAACGTCATTGTCTAAGACTGGGGACTACTTAACACGACTCGCCTGAGCTACTCTTAATGTCCCTGTTGTTGTTATTGTCTGCATGTAAAAAACCACTCAAAAAAAAAACAAGAATAAATAGATATTTAGACTAGAGTACATTTTATAGGTTTCTGCTCGCGTAGAGCAGTAAATTTAAATGGAAAAAGAATATAAAATAAATACTTTATCCGAGGGATGCTGCAGAAGTATTGGATATTTGGTTGCATGATTATACCTGAAAACCAATAGCAAATAAATATTTAAGCTTTCAATGTTACTCCACTGACATCGCATAGCAGGCGTAGCACAATGTTTGATTTAATTTCCTTGAATATGGTCAGTTTACTTTTCAAAGTCAAAGTGAACAAGCCAAAAATTATATATCAGTCATATTTCAATTCAAAAATAATACGTATATTACGAGTACAGCCATGAATTGTATAACCCTGAAGAGATCTTTAAGTTCCGATGACGATTCGCCTTTTACATCTACCGCAAAAAGAAAGAAAGAAAAAAATAAATTAAGAAAGTTACCAGGTGTATCCTTAAAGCGCTCCCAAGCTTTCGGAGACTATTTCCAGGATTCTTCTCCAGCAAAACGAGCAAAACATCAGTTCCAGGAAAAGGATATTAAGAAGGACCAGAAACCAAAGGTTCCAAGCGACTTTTTGAAAGATTTGCCCATACTGCACGATTCCGATTCCACTGATTTTGACGAAGATACTCGAGCAGCCGAAATCGTAAAGACAAAGATAGTAGCTAGGGATAATCAAAATATGTTTACTTTTGAGCAACTGAAGTCCATTTGCTGCGATATGATGAAGAAATGCGAGGATCGAGTAAAACAGGAATTTGAAAGAGACTTAACCCAGAAACTGACAGAACAATACGATACATTCATCAAGTTCACTCACGATCAAATGCTTCGTGAAAGTGCGAATAGTTTTAGTTATTTGACATAGTTAAACAAATTGTTTTCATTATTCTTGTTATATTCGAAGGCTTGATCTTTCTTTTTTGAAAATTATTGTTAATAAAAAGTGTGTGAGGATAAAAATGGTAGTATTTAATAAAAATGGAGTTTGCTTTGTACTACGCTATCATATTTTACCTTTCCCACAATCACCAGAGTTCATGATTATTAAAAATTAATTAAAAAATCAGATTAAAACATTGAAAAGCTTTCAGAAACTTTTCGTTCAGCTCTCTAAGTAATTCCTTAATTGTGCATAAAGCTGTTAAGGCCCACAAACAGCAAAAGCCAAATGTGGCCAAGTTTTAATGCCTCAAAACGCAAGCTGCCTGGCATCCTGCTCAACCAGTCCCCCTTCCATACTCAGCTAGTCGAGCAGGTTAAGCGATTTACGCGTCGCTAATTTACGCTAATGTTTGCCTTTCACATTTCCGCATAAATGCACAGACAATGTGGCAACATCAGCCCCCTGTTCTCTACCCTTTCCAACCCTAACCCACTTTCCCCAAACGCTTTTCCCTTCAGACGTGTCCTGGTTGTTACATATGAGAGCATTTCCATATTCCGCCAGTGAAGACAACATTTTCGCAGGCTGTTTAAACATGAAATAAGTAAATTATATGGCATCTTGTTCTGCCTGGCATTCTCTTGAAACATTCGGGCCATGTCCTTGTCCTCTCTCCCATGGGTGCAGAATGTTTTTTAATGAACTTAATTATTTTTTCTGCCTACTTGGCTGCTGTTTTATTTTTCACTCTTTGACTTTGTTTTTTTTCGAACTTGGGTTGCTGGGCCAAGTTTTCCTTTTCCTTTTAGGAAATTTAAACATTAATAAATCTGTTCAAAAATCGGAAATGTGAAAACTTATTGATTAATTGCGAAATAGCCATATGTTAGCTCTTAGTTTAAGCTAATTATAAATAAATACTGCTTATATATCAAATTCAATAATATGCACTAATATTCCCAGCAATTAAAGTGACATGGACTCAGCTTTTTGAAATGAAAATCCTTTTCAGCTTCGTTTTAATTCTTAATGACCTGAAAGTGGATTCATTTTTATTAAGCAAAGCCGGGTGATTTTCCTCCTTTGAGTTAAATGAAATCGTTTTATAACCGTCATACTCTTATTGTATCATTTCAGCGACGAATATTCGATACCAGATCACAGGCGGTAACATAGGCAATGCCTTCGCCGTACAAAACACCACCGGTGTCATTTACGTGGCAAGTCCACTTGACTACGAAACTCGGCCAAGGGTAAGTAGTCGACAGGTCTGAAGAAGAAAATGTTAAAGTATGGGACTTAAAGTATTGGAAGCGTTTTTATAATTAACACAAATTAATATTCAAGTAAAGAAGAATAATTAGATAGGTTCTGAAAAGCGTTTTTAAAGATTTTTAAATTATTTATCTACAGCCTTCTGTTTCTTTGTGTGTCTACAAGTTGATGTACATTTTTCTTGGTCCTATTTTTTATACTGGGACCTAACTTTCTGCTGCATGCATAATTTATATATTTTTCTGCTTTGGCGATGAACAACAAAAAAAGGGAAATATGTAAAACTATGCAAAACTTTTGGGGGGTTTGGCAAAACTTTCGACCGGGCAAGTCGAGGCGTATAAAAAAATTAATCCGAAAAAAAAGAGAAAATTCGCTTACAAGCAGAAAGCATTTCCATCTCAGAGAACTAGAGGGGTACAGGGGATATATAGACAGCTACAGCTGTCGTTACATATCCCAATGCGCATTTTTAACGTGATTGGCAACGCACAACCATATCACTTAGAAAAAAACAATACAAATATAACCAAAAATTATTAGCCGTCACAGAGGGAAGCAGATTAATAAATTTCTTTAAATGTAGAGTTATTTTATTTTATGAAAACTATTTATATATTTACTATATTCATCTTTTAAATATGATAAGCCTGTTAAATCCATTTTTCGAAATTTTTTTTTCTGTGTGCAAGGAAGAAATATATGTAGAAATCCACCAACTTCCTGCACCGCGTAGTCATCACCTATACGCAACTTGTTTTGGCACCCCCACAGGACTGGAAATCCGTGTAGCTGTCAATGCCCAGCCATGCAACAAGCACTGGCAGTGCCACAACGGCCAAAACAACAAGCCACAGCAGCCGGAACATGTGTTGCCAATTTCGTATTTAGCTCTTCTTTTTTCCACTCTGTTCTGTTCTACCCGTGGAAAAAAGTTTCACTGACCATTCATGCGAATTTGGCTTTTGTTGTTCAAATTGCGACTGGACTATGGCAGCCTCGTCCGCATCAGGCGCATTAAAAACGTCAGGCCAGAATAAATCTCCTTTGCTAATGGCATTGTCTATTTTTAAATTTCTCTGAAACTTCCGATGGAAATATTCATAAATGAATTTTGAAATTTCCAAACGCTTTTGCCAGATTACGTTAAAAGTTTCATTCTGTATTCACTTTTCTGCCTTTGCAGTGGTTTTGAGACAGCTGAAAGACATTATATACAAACGCATTATTTTACTTTACCTATTTACCTAATTAATAATTGTTTTTACGTTTTATTTTACAGTATGAACTGCGCTTAGAGGCCACCAGAAATCGCAAAAATAATTACACCACCGTTGTGATCAACGTTCGCGATGTCAACGATAATCCACCGGTATTCGATCGTCAAACATATCGCACACAAATCACCGAAGAAGACGATCGCAATCTGCCCAAACGCATTCTGCAGGTTAGTTTCGCGTTTAAAAATTTTTGCCTACTTTTCAGGGCAACATATATCGCCTTATTGGCTTTACAACAATTTAAATATTGATACCAGCAGCGGCATGCACATCGAAAAAGATAAACACGAGCCAAAAACAATACATACAATACACGTAATTTGCATAAAAAGCCAAAAACTTAACAATAAAAAAGCGGGTAAAGCAGGCCGAAGGCAGACACATAACAGGCTGGGAAACTCAAGTGCCGAACGTATAGTGACGGCAAAAATGAGAAAAATCGAGGAAAAGTGGGAAACAGTTGGCAGAAAAGTTCTTCGCTCGGGTGGAGCCATTCAGCCGTAAATATAAATAAATACTCATTCATTAATAATAACGTGATAGTTTCGCAACGGCAGTAAAATGCGTACACAAACGCCAATACATACATCATCATGAGTACGCATACATACATGCATATATGTAAGAAAAAGCCTCATATAAGTATATATACTTTTATTTATGCCATCATTTACCAACATCAAGACCATCGTAGAGAAAGCCGATTTTATGACCACATCAACATTTGAATACACTTTAACGGGCGCATTAAGAAAACTGTCATTTCTAGGTTGTAAATGTTGAAAAGAAGGTCTTATAATCAAGATTAAACGATCAAAGAAAAAAATTAGCAGGAATTAAATTTTTAATCATTAACACATTTTATATATGTTTACGAAAAGCCTCTGACTTATTTGATTCACCTTCAATTAATTTAAAGAGCATTCCATTAAGGCCAACTTATTTTTTAAACATTAAATACAAATTAAAATTGCACAGCTCAGCGGTGGTGCCCGCAACCAATAAACAAGAAACGATGCAAAAACAAGGCGAATTTTTAATTACACATTTATGGCAGGCCAAAGTGCGACCGGAGGAGCATTGTCACGGCGGGTCCCATTTATGTCCCATAAATATATATCCATATATACATGCCTCATTCATACAGATACAAGGTGAATGGAATGCGTTTGCTGTTGCCAACACCTTTGGACCCAAATTGATTTCCCTGCTTCAAAAATTAAATGCAAATATTTTTTTTAATGTAAAGCGCAGGACTTGGCAGGACTCTGTAGGTGGGTTTGGATGGCAAAGGCATTTAAAGCCAGGCATGTATGTACGATTATGTGTGTGAGTATTCTGGCGAAAGGACAATGGCACATACGCAGCTCGAAGGCTCGCTTCCGCCTGCGAAATGGGCGGGGCAATAATAATGGGCACAATGATGGCACGTAGACAACTCTTTTGTCATATCAAATTGTGTTCAACATTTAACGTAAATTGTCGCATTGTGAATGTGCAACGGATGGCTGTTGAGAATGGGTATGGGTGGAAATGGCAGGCACTTAACACGTGACGATGATTTAAAGGACCAAGGACCCAGAGGATATTGCTACAAGTTTGCCTGTAATTGTCAACTGAATCTCGCTTTTCTTTCATTATAATAGAAAATGGGTTGCACACAAGCAAGACACATGCATAACTCGTTTTGTTTCCACAGAACCTTTGTCACTTTGCACTGACAATCTACACACTGATACTTCACGTTTATCCTATGAAAGGATGCAAAGAGATAGGGAGAGAGGTGATATAGAAACAAACTGAACAAGGCAATTATTGCTTTTAATTGGCAAGACAACTGTTTAAAGACTGTACTCTCGTCACTTTGATTTGCAAGTAACTTTGTCTTAGGGGTGGTTAACTTAGTATGCAGCGATGAGGAGTAGGATAAGTTAGGAGCCTAATAATAAAATATATCAATCATTGTTTTTGCATTGTTACTTGTTAAGTAGCGATTAAAAGAATTCGTAAGCTTTCATCCAGCATGCAAACCTTGAAGGGAAATTTCAGCACTCACTTATAATTCCTTTTACCAAGAAACTTAAAACATTTTTAAATATTTTTCAAGTATTTTTATGTTGTTGCAGATTAAGAGAACTCCTCAATAGTACTTCATTTATTTCATTTTATTCAATTGCCAAAGCCTTCCATTTAGCCAATCAAACTCGATAACAGTCTTGGCTATGATCAAAGATTCCAAGAAAATGCTCCTAAATGCTGATTTAATTTACCAATCACAAACACAAAATAAACAAAACAAAAATAAAACAATGAAATAAATGAAAAAAACGGAATCCGATTGAATAATTACATAAATCTCTGTAATATTAGCATTTCTTTCCTTGGTTTTTTGTATGAAAATATTTTGTGGCCATCCCAAGAAGGCCGAAATAAAATATGCAAAAAATAGGAGAGCAAAAAATCGAAGCATAAATTTACAAGCAATCTGGCGGGTAGAAAGGAAAAATACCAACCACGCCCACCGTCCAGATTTTTCAGCGCCCTTCCTACCGCATTTTTACCCATTTCGACAATCACGTTGCCCTTTATTGGACATTTAAAGCATTTGGCTCATTTGCATATTTGATTTATAGCCTCCAATATTGTAAGCAGCGTCCAGTTTTCCACTGAATCAGAACCTGAACCTGAATCCTTATCCTCCACCGAATAATGCAGTTTTTGTTACTAACCGTTTGCTTTTCCATTTTCCATTGCAGGTCACAGCCACCGACGGCGATGTAGATAGACCAATAAATATTGTATATTTCCTGACTGGCCAGGGCATCGACCCTGATAATCCAGCGAATAGTAAATTTGATATAAATCGCACGACGGGCGATATTTTTGTACTCAAGGTAAGTGAGGGCGCGAGACTCTGTTCACCTTTCGGCGCTTTTAAACAGATTCCAATTTCGAGACCCCTCGTAAAAGGAGCGTAATGAATGCCAGTTAAAAATTCGCGACTGCCCCCTTAACAGCAAGCCGTGCAAATGGCGCTCAATTCAACTTCACAAAAAATGAAAAGAGGAACAAAAACAGGAAAATAACTTTTTCGTTTGTAGTCCAACTGGGGGCGCAGTAGGTACTCTATAAGCCCCGGGGGGCTATTTTTTGACAGAGGGGCTTTCGCTTTGGCCGTTCACAATTGAGCCACAGTTTATGCTCAAACAATGGCGCAGTTTATATTGTGTGACGAGTGAACAGTTGAAAAAATGAGAGGGTCACAGTGTTATGGAAATGGGTCTACACTGAATTTATGCGGGTAAAATAACCTTCCCAACTTTCCCATCGAAAAGAGAGTCTTTGAATGAGTTAAGGCAGGGACATATATTTTATAGGCCGTGAAAAATATATTCAAATAAAAGGAGTGATCAAGTAAAGGTAAAATATAGATTATTAAAGTAAATTCAGTAATATTTTTCACACTTTGTAAATTTTTTTATAAGAACTACTTTAACCAACAAACTAAATGTTAACAAAAAGCGTTAACTGACTTGACAGCGCTTTTAACCTTTTTGACACTGCGGCATTCTTTTCATAACCGGAAGAACTTGAAAACGTGTTCAATATTTAACACTTTTTGTCGGCTCCTGATTGCTGTCATCCCTTACCACCCTCGATTTCGCGACTTTTGTAAATTGTAAAGCTTTCCACGCGGTTCGGTGGCGTATGATTAATTTAAAACTGTGTCAAACCACACACACACACACACTGGCAAATACCACACCCATTGGTACATGAGGCAAACAAAAAATAACGTCATTTAGATGCAAAAAACTGCCACCGTCGGTTGTCAGATACATAGACTCCAATTAATTTCAGACAAAGTCCATAAAAACTAACGAGTCAAAGTGTCAGTAAAGCGAGCGAGTGGAAATTAGTGTTGCTAACTATGGATTACAATAGGGGAGCTAAATGCAATATTAGTTACATGGCTAAAGAACCTATTTATATTGAGGCAAATAAAAGTAAAGAAATAAATATTCTTTTTAAATACTTAAACTTAAAATTTACATTATTATAAAATAACTTGAAATAGTCAAATACTTGAAAATTTATATTTGTATACAATTATCAGGGAACGTAAGTTAGAGCTAGTAATGACTTTTAATTTTAAATTTAAGTTTTTCATAAACGTCAAGAATATATCTTTTTAATTCTAGTCTTTAGATTAAGCCACAGAATTTCAAATTTTTATAACATTGTTTAGGACCCAAAATAGTATAGAATTTATCTGGAAAATAGTTGTCAACACTAGTGGACATTCCCGAACCTTTCACTTCAAAGTTCGAGCCTTCGGAAAGCCCCACTCCGATTCGCATTCTGCATAAAATGTTCAAATGTTGCCGCTGGCGGTTTGCTTTATTTGTTTTATTGCTGGCGGATAGGGCAGTTTGCTGATGCGATAGGGTTAAAAGTGAGTGAACGTGGTGTGAGTCAATGGGCGTTGGGAGCTGTGTGGCAGTGGGTGGTTCCAGCGACAGCATGTGGCATTTGTGGTTTTGACGCTCTACAACCAACCACATGTAAATGACGTTCGTCGTTCGTTATTGGTGCGCGGTTGCCTGGCATAAAATTGTGTGTAAAATCAGGCGAGGAAATGGGGTTTTGAAAAAAAGAGTTCAGAGGATTCTGAGGTCGGGGACTCCTTCGTTTGGCGGATGCCACTTGCCGGCTGCCTGACGGCATTTAATTTGTAATTGCGATTGCATTACGTGTCACGTGGCAATGAAGCCATTTTTTTAACCCGTTTTAATTGAGCGAACTGGGCTTTAAAGTTTATTTGCCGACAGCTGAGTGATTGGCTATCAAATTGGTTATCTGGTAGGCTGCTAAAAAATGGTTTTAAATAAAACGCGCTATCTGGGTCACAACGAAATAAGTCTCAAAGACATGAAAAACATAGTAAGAGATTTATTTAATTATTTGAATAAGTGATTAATTAGAGAATGAAATAAATAAACACCTAGCGGTATATGTAGAGCATAATATTTAATGCCACAAAGGCAGTGAATAGAGTAAGACAACAAAACATTACTAGCTATTAAGGTGAACTCATTTTTATCTTAGAATTCAAATTCCCTGAGTTTCTTGACCACTTAAATATTCTCTTACAAAGAACATTTTTAGCCGAAACAATACATTTCTCGTGTCTTTACAATAAATACAAGACTTAGCTTTCATTTACTTCAATAAGACTTCAGAATTAATTCATCGTAAAAGCAAATTGTCCTTCAGACCAACCACAGATACCAACACATTGAATACATTTCGTTAAGGTTTGAGAGTATATATACACTATACGCATTAGCTGAGCAAGCAATGTTTAAGGGTAATTTGAATAGGGGCCAGAGCCAGGCCAAGACCAAAAGGTTGACAGGGCCAACACATTGGCAACTCACACAAAAACAAACAAAACACAGCCATAGAATACTGGAGGACATTTCAATCGAATGGATGGCTTTTATTTTGTCATTGGCAATGCAATTTCGTGTGGATAACTCATTTAATGAGAAATCTAATAACAGACTTGTGTATGTAAGACCACCTACCAACCCAAAGCCATCAAAGCCAGGTTAGAAACAAACAACAATCAATGGCCAACGGCTCAAGGGTTTCCAGGGTCTCCGACTCAGTCTCAGTTACAATTTACCAAGGGGCATAAAATAATTTGCAAACAAACAAACAGCTGCCAAATCAAATCCCTTTCTTGCACTTAGAGAAACTTTTGTGTATAAATGAAAGGCCCATGAAAGGTTTTTTTTTAAATTTACAGTTTATATAAAAATGAACATTTATATATTGCAATCCTGTCCCAAAATTGAAAATTATTTTTAAATAAAATCTGAATAAATTAATGCTTCATGTGTAACTGTGAATCCGCAGCCCCTGGACCGAGATCAGCCCAATGGCAGGCCACAGTGGCGCTTCACAGTATTCGCACAAGACGAGGGCGGCGAGGGCCTGGTCGGATATGCGGACATCCAGGTTAATCTGAAGGACATCAACGACAATGCACCACAGTTTCCGCAGGGCATCTACTTTGGCAATGTCACCGAAAACGGAACAGCCGGCAGCTCAGTGATGACCATGTCTGCCGTCGACTACGATGATCCCAACGAGAGCACCAATGCCAAGCTCATCTACTCGATTGAGAAGAACGTCATCGAAGAGGAGACAGGGGCGCCCATCTTTGAAATCGAGCCGGAGACGGGCCTCATCAAAACAGCGGTCTGCTGTCTGGACAGGGAGCGAACGCCCGACTACTCGATCCAGGTGGTGGCCATGGATGGTGGTGGTCTGAAAGGTGAGTGTTATAAATTCATCTGGGTCAAGGGCCTGAACTCAATCAGCCAGATTGTTTGTCTAGCTGGGACTGTGCCTGTGGGTGTTAATAACGCTTCAGAGGAATTCCCAGAAGACGGTATTAATATCTTGATTCGCTTAACCATACCTGATTGCCTTGAGATGTCTGAAGTTAGAAATATATTTAGCTTTGAGGTTTTCTTTTAAACCAAGCAAATAATAATAAAATTATATTTAAATATAGTTTATGACCACGAAAATATTTAATTCGTTTTGTAAAAATAAAAAGGAATATTTTATAGAAAACTTAAATAAATTAAGATTGAAAAATATAGCTATATTAAAATCTCTACCACTCTTAGAAATAACGACCAACATAAAACAAAATTCCTCTTTACCATAAAAACAAATTTGTTCATGAGTGAACATATTTATTTTTGGGACAGCCAACTTATCAAAAATATGAATAGATACCAGTTTCCAGCCAGTCATTCCTCCAATTTCTCACACTGCTTCTGTACGTAATCGACGCCCATCTGATGCACCCTGTTTGTTCTGTTTACTGACCAATTTTGCAGGGACCGGGACCGCCTCGATTCGCGTCAAGGACCTCAACGACATGCCACCGCAGTTCACCAAGGACGAGTGGTTCACGGAGGTGGACGAAACGAATGGCACTTACATCCCAGAAACGCCCATTCTCACGGTTACCGTTCAGGACGAGGACGAAACGAACACGTTCCAATACAAAGTGGTGCCGAATAGTGGTTTCGGGGCGGACAAATTTGCGATGGTGCGGAATGCCGATGGAACGGGCTCACTGAAAATCATACAGCCACTGGACTACGAGGATCCGCTACAAAGCAGTGGATTCCGGTTTCGCATACAGGTCAACGATAAAGGCGATGATGGACCAAATAGCAGTGATAAGTATCATGTGGCGTATTCGTGGGTGGTGGTAAAACTTCGAGATATCAACGATAATGTGCCCAAATTCGACCGGGAGCACATAGAAGTCTCCATCTACGAGGATACGAAAGTGGGAACTATTCTCGAGCAATTTAAGGCCACCGATGCCGATCAAGGAGGTCATTCCACAGTACTTTACAAAATTGTTCGCTCCACAAATCGTAAAAGACAGTTTGCCATAAGTGACAAAGGAGCTGTCAGCATACAGAGACCTTTGGATAGAGAAACCATGGATCGGCATCATATTCAGATTTTAGCTATCGATGACGGCAGCCCTGCTCGAACTGCCACTGCAACTCTAACCGTTATAGTTAAGGATGTCAATGATAATGCTCCGACGTTTGCCCAGGACTATAAGCCAACTTTGCCAGAGAATGTATCTGGTAAAAAGATACTGGAAGTGGCAGCCAAGGATGCAGATGATAGGCAACGGGGCAATGGAGGACCCTTCACATTTCGATTGGATCCCTTGGCCAGCGATGAAATAAGGGCAGGCTTTAAGGTGGAATATGATCGCAGTAAGTATATAATATTCTTAAATTAGGAATAAATAGGGAATGAAAAATAGTTAAATGTTAATCGCAAACATAAACACGTGTATCTAATACAACCGAGGGCAAACCGCTTTGCATAATTAACGTTGCAAAAAATGTTTAAACGCTCACTAAGCCCAACATCTGTCATATTGGCGCCAAAATAAAAAACATAATGAGAAAAATTCGCGAGCACTTGGAAAAATGATAATATATAAAATGCTGAACATATTTAATGCATTAGCTTGATTAAAAATGTATTCAATGAGATATGTTGCAGCAATTTATACCAATTACGCATCTCATTTAAGTTATTATGCAAATTAATATCAAGCGAACTAATTTTTTACTTATTTATGCATTTTAGTCTGCATTTGTTTATTGTGAAATAATTAATTCGGCATTTGAAAATCAATTATTAACGTTGATAACCCAAAGGCCTGGGGGTCAATTCGTTTATTGTGGAGATACTTGAAACTCAAACACGTGTCAGGACGGCAGAAAACCTTAAACAAAAAAAGAGGAGCAGAGAGTGATAAAAACACATCAATGAGGATGGTCCCTAAAACAGAGAGACACACAAATACAAAAGATAAATGTGCCCTGAAATTCAAACTGGCAAGGCAGAAAAACTGGTCCAGAAAATTGAAAAACTTGCTGTCAATGTCAGCGACAGCATTCAAGTGACACCTCAAATTTTCTTTCATTTGATCGATTTTATTGGGGTCCACTCGAAAGTTTTCCTTTTTAAGGATTTTTTGTCCGGGGTTTTTGTTTCAAATAACTCCCAACAATGGCTACACAAAAACTGTAAAGCAATTTCCATTTTACAAAAGAGGAGAGCAGAGAAAAAAATGCAAAACCAAGATTGAAAATTTACTTCTTTTCGAAGGTGCTCCGTGGTATACACTTAGGTATTTAATTTAATTATTATCCGAAAAAATTTAAAAACTTAATTTTTATTTTAGATACAACCTAATATTGCAAACTAAAAAAGTGAAACAAAATTCCAACAAAATGAAAAATGCAAAACGACAAATAAAAGAGGAAAAAGCTTTTACATTTCATACGTAATTTTCATTTCAGAGAATATTTGATTTACATTTTGAAGATACAAGAAATACCAAAAACTGTATTGCCATGGAAAATCAGTGGTTTTGTGAATATACTCGAACCTTAGGGAAAACCCATGAAAGGAAAACACCAAATCGCAATGAAAACAAAAGCCGACCGGACATGGTCAACTGGACGAACCGAGATGATGGCCTCGAGGCTGAATTCTGTCCACAGTTCCATCGCTTCTCTGTTTCACTTCTCTGATTCTCTGGCACTTTTCGACCAATTTCTCTATCTCTCAGTTGGCTGTTACAGTGATTTTTTTGTGTCGGTTACTAACTTTGTGGCACAAACAATGCTGATGATGCTGATTGTCTGAAACATAATTCAATCACCATTACTATGCAAACACAGTTTGGTTTAGCGTTTGATTTCGACTTTGATTGTGTGCCAATTGCCTTGAATGAATGAACTGAATTGGATGGAGTGCCGGAGTGCAGAGGGAACATACTGAATTGGTTCGGTTTTGAATTGCAAGTTGTTTGATCTTAGCGTTTAGTTTTAGCGTTTGGTTAGTTTGGGCAAATGCGGTCGACCAAATTCGCGCCGTTTGAAGTTTGGAATGTATTGCAAACAGAGTTTAATATTTACTAGCCGGTCATGAGAACTTAGAAAATAAAAGTTGTTTTGCAACAACTCTCGTCAGATTCGTGAAACATGCTTTTCAGCTTTTAGCAAACACATTTGGAAATATTTTTGAATTATAAAATATTTATATTGAAACAATATGAAACACCTTTTAAATTTTTTAAACTTAAAATTAAATACTTAACTGAAATACTTACTTATTAAATATCTTTTTTTTAGGAGGTGACAATGGAAATGGGGTGGCCATCATCTCATCCCTTCGTCCCTTTGATCGCGAGGTGCAAAAGAGCTATGCCATTCCCATCGAAATCAAGGATAATGGAGCTCCAGCGATGACTGGAACCAGTACTTTGACCATAACTATAGGCGATGTTAATGATAATAAAATGCAGCCAGGTAGCAAGTCCGTGCTGGTATATAACTACCAAGGACAGTCTCAGGATACGCAAATTGGAAGAGTATACGTCAACGATCCCGATGATTGGGATGTTCCGGATAAGAAATACTACTGGGAGGTTCAGGAACACCAAAGATTCAAACTGGATACCGATACTGGAATTTTGACAATGAGAGCTGGTACACGAAGAGGTCGCTATCAGCTTAAGTTTAAGGTTTACGATCGTGAGCATGGTCAGGAGGATATACCCGCAAATTTGAGTGTTACAGTGCGAGACATAACAGCAGAGGCTGTGCAGCAAGCTGGTTCCATGAGGTTGGCTCACATCACAGATGAGGATTTCGTGAGAACTTGGAATCCGGTTAAGAATCAAGTGGAGCCCTCTAAACTAGAAAGGTTCCGCAACAAACTGGCCGAGTTACTATATACAGATCGAGATAATGTGGATGTCTTTAGTGTCCAACTAAAGGAAGGTTCTTCCTATCCCCTCACAGACGTTCACTTTGCTGCCCGTTCTGCAACTCAGCAACCATATTTCAAATCAGTTCGATTAAATGGAGTGGTTCAGATGCATCGTGAAGAGATTGAACATGAAGTGGGCCTAAATATCACTATGGTTAATATAAACGAGTGCTTGCATGAAGGTAAAAATAAGTGTGGTTCCAATTCCTGTACCTCCAAAGTAGAGTTAGGTAAGAAGCCCTATACAGTTAGTGTAAATCGCACTGCTTTGGTTGGCGTTCGGTTGGATATCACGGCTCAGTGTGTTTGCCGGGCCAGGAACTTTACCAATCATGATCATAACTGCAGATCTCACCTCTGTTATAATGGCGGAAGATGTGTGGAGACCCGAACTGGTCCGAAATGCGTAGCATGTCCCGTGGGCTATAATGGGCCTCGATGCCAGCAATCCACAAGGAGTTTTCGCGGCAATGGTTGGGCCTGGTATCCTCCACTTCAACTCTGTCAGGAGTCTCATCTCAGTTTGGAGTTCATCACTCGTGTTGCAGATGGCTTAATTCTCTACAATGGACCAATAGTCCCACCAAAACTTGAAGAATCCGTGATTAGCGACTTTATAGCCATAGAACTGGCGCAGGGCAATCCGAGGCTTCTCATGGATTTCGGTTCAGGAACCTTGGAACTGCGGGTAAAGACCAAGAAAACCCTGGATGATGGTGTCTGGCATCGTTTAGACATATTCTGGGACACCGAGAATGTCCGAATGGTTGTGGACTTTTGTCGCACAGCCTTGGTTTCCGAAATGGAGGATGGCACTCCGCCGGAATTCGATGATAATGCCTGCCAGGCGAGAGGACAAATTCCACCGTTTTCAGAGCAACTGAATCTAAATCAGCCCCTTCAATTAGGTGGACTTTACAGGCAACACTTTGATCAAACTCTTTACAATTGGCAGTATGCTTTTAGCTCCAAAGGATTCGATGGTTGTATACGAAACGTAATCCATAACTCCGAGCACTATGATTTGGCTTTCCCTGCTTTGGCCAGGAATAGTTTTCCCGCCTGTCCGCAAACCGATGAAGTTTGCCTAAAAACCGAACATACAGCTCGTTGTTGGGAGCATGGAAATTGTGTGGCAAGTTTGGTTCAAGCCAAGTGCCATTGTCAACCGGGTTGGATGGGTCCGGGTTGCAATGTGCCCACAATTCCTACGACTTTCAAGGCCCAAAGCTATGTGAAATTTGCCCTCAGCTTCGAACCGGACCGGTTTTCCACCCAACTTCAGCTGAGATTTCGAACTCGAGAGCAGGGTGGCGAGCTTTTCCGGGTTAGTGATCAACATCATAGGGAGTACGCCATCCTGGAACTCCGAAGAGGCCATCTACAATTCCGCTTTAATCTGAATTCACTGAGAAACGAGGAACAATTGCTGACCTTAACCGCAGTCGCAGTAAACGATGGACAATGGCATGTGATTCGCATTAGTCGATATGGATCGGCGGCACTGATGGAACTGGATGGCGGGGAATCGAGACGGTACAATGAATCTTTTCACTTTACAGGACATCAGTGGCTAAGCATCGACAAGCAGGAGGGTGTTTATGCGGGCGGCAAGGCCGAGTATACGGGAATCAAGACCTTTGAGGTGCAGTCCGACTTTCAAAGGAGCTGCTTAGACGACATCAGGTAAGGAGGTTTTATCAATATTCGATCAAAATATAAATTAACTTGTCAGATAGTTAGCTAAAGTTGATTGACCTTAATTATTCAGATAGTTAGTTTCTAGGTGCGTTTAATGCATTTCAATTTGGAACAGAATACCTAATGTTAATACATTAAAGTAAATTTGAAAACTAAAACATCAAGAATATGTCACTTAATTTATGGACAAATGAACAGTAGACTCTGCTAATCAATGAAAGCAATAAATGGACCCAGTAAAAGACCTCAATTGCTGGTACTCAAGCGAAGTTTTCCCCATTTTTTCCCCCTACTCCGACTGACAGACTGGATGGAAAACACCTGCCACTTCCGCCCGCCATGAATGGGACCCAGTGGGGACAGGCGACGATGGCCCGCAATCTCGAACGTAACTGCCCCTCGAATAGGCCCTGCTCGAATGTCATCTGCCCAGATCCCTTTGACTGCGTCGACTTGTGGAACGAATACGAATGCACGTAAGTATACCTTTTTCATTTTCATTTCCTGAGCATTTCCTTTGTGAACGGTGCACAGTAATTTATTGCGTTTTCGATTTAATTATGGGTCCCTTTGTTTGCCTTTGAAGGCAAGCCAAAAGTTGTAATCAAATCGGTGCAAATGTCAATTACAAATAAGTCAATTAGATGCTCAGCAATAGTAAATGGAATTTGCCTAATTATTACACAGATACAAGATGCTTGACTTAAAGAGTTGTATATATATATATATACAGTTCATATGCTAAGGTAACCCTGAGATACAAACATAAATTTATGTATCTGAATGCCATTACGGTAAAAGATACCTGCAGTGGTACAGATATTTCCGAGAACGACTCCCTGCCATTTTCCAGTTGCAGGCACACAGACAATGCCAAACAGCAAATTGACTCCGAATGCAAAACAAATAATATCAATTGTCATTGCCTGACTTCCGTTGCTCATGCAAACCAGACACCGCAGAAGTGGAAGGTCTCACTCAGAAAAATTAACCAAGCTTTGGACTTTCTTATATAAAGTAAACTTTTTTGTCTTTTTCTATTTAGTAGAATAAATCATTTGAAATTAAATTACATTAATAAGCGTACATTAAGCCTATTCCCTAAAAAATATTCACAAATGCTATAATTATTTGCGCCATGTTCAAACGTACTCTAGGAAAAAATGTATATTTTCCAAGTGTTTGCACATGGAAATTTCTACATTTGGCTGGCTGGACTGGGAATCTGGGGCACGACTCCTGATCCTAGAGCTTCTGCCGTACAACACCTCATCGATGATGGGTCGCTGTGGAAATGTGGCGGTGGCAGTGGAAATGGCACTTCCCTTGCCCGAAAGCATAGCACATTTTCCACATCATTAGTTTTGCGGAGTGACTCCATTCGAGAGCCGACGACAGCCAGCAAGGACACCCAATCTGGCACTGCATCATGTCCTGTTCGCTCCTTGTCCTCATCCACCCGTCTCCCCTGTTTTGAAGGGGAGAAGACTAAGCACCCCCAGCTGTGAGCTTCTCGCTCCATTTGCTTTCGAGAACAGGAACATCTGGGCCTGCTGCTTTTAAACACGTGTTCGCCAGGCTCGCCTCCTTGCGGTCTTCTTATTTTTTAAAGATAAATTTAAATAGTGGCACACGCTTCACCTTCAGGTGGCGACGTGTCATAAATTATGCTTATTTTAGCCTCAATTTCGTTGCCAGTTGTGGGCAGCAGTTAACGCAGTGGCTCTGCTGGAATTTGTGTCACTCACTCAGGACACTAAGATGTCGGACAAGAAGCTGTCCTCAATCGGAATACGAAATGACTTCAATTTAAATGTGCAAAATGTGTGCGAGGGGTTAAGTTTCTTTCTTTTTACTTACCCGCGCTTAAAGCTTAAATTTCCCCATCGCTGAGTTGTCCAGGGACTTCCGCATAACCAAAATTTCACGCCCTTAATGCGCTTCGGAAAATATTTGAGAGGGGCGCAGCTCATGGGGGAATTAGTCTATCCTTTGGTTGCACAACTTTGTGTGAAAATAAAAAGTTTTATTTCGGGAAAAAAATGTAGAGAACAAAAGTACACTTAGGAAAACACAATTAGCCATTTTAGAACTATTTGCAACTTAGGGAAAATGAAATTAACTTTGTGATTTCAAAATATCTTTAGTAAAAGTTGAATGATATTAAAGGTGTAGCTAAAGCTTATTACAAAATATAATTTTATACCATTAAACTTAGTACATTTTTTTAAGTGTGAAAGAAAATAAAATTAGTGCAATCTTTGTGGCAGCATACATTTGCCTTCCCTTTGCAGTAATAGCCTTTGAATTCGTAATAACTCTCCTGACCGCCGAATTTGCCGTTTCAGTTGCAGCGAGGGTCGCATCATGTCCTCGGACACCAAGGGATGTGTGGATCGGAACGAATGCCTGGACCTACCCTGTCTGAATGGAGCCACCTGCATCAATCTGGAGCCCCGACTCCGCTATCGATGCATCTGTCCGGAGGGCTATTGGGGCGAAAACTGTGAGCTGGTGCAGGAGGGACAGCGCCTGAAGCTGAGCATGGGAGCCCTGGGTGCCATATTCGTTTGCCTCATTATCATACTGAGTAAGTACGAAGGACGACCGCAAGTGAAGACAAACTCAGACAAAAATATACACCACCCACTCTGTCACTAAGCTGCTCTGAGAAATTTCCCATTCATGTGTGACAATTAAGCGGCTTAAGCAGCAACATTTTTGCTTCACCCCCAACACCCACCTCTCCATCTTGGTCCTCTCTGTTTTTCCATGTTAATGCAATTTGCTAGTGGAAATCTACCTTCCCCAAAAACGAACACCAAAAAAATACAGCGACACTGACATCTGTTTGGACAGTCGCGACCGTGTGGGGTTAAAAAAATAAAAAAATGTAAAGGGTTAACATGGGAGGAAACCATGCATTTTCAACAACATAAAGTGGCAACAAATCTTGTATTCGTTGCTTTATTTTCGCAACACTTTTTTATGCCCTGGCAGGGGCAATTTGTATGTTTAGCTTGAAAAAAGGAGCAGAAAAATATTTGCATAGCGGCTAATTAAGCTTGGATAAAAACGAGGAGAAAAGTTTGCTTATTGGGAGGAGAAGTTTACTTGTCCTAGTACTAGTAATTTAGGGGATATTTTAAGAAAAACTATTTGGGATTAAAGTGCCATTAAATGCATTTTTACTTAATATTGAGACGTAAATTCAATGCTTTATAAGATATCTACAGTAAAAGTTAGCTTCAAATATAAAAATAAACCAATATTAAAACCACAGGAAAGCCGTGTATATTAATTAGCAAGCTTTAAAATTTTATAAGCTTTCTTTTCTAAAATTTATTATTTCCCTTATCCATAAAAATAATCTAGTTTTGCCCAAATTTGAGTGCTCTAGCCATTTAGCTCGATGCCTAAGCCAATTAGAGCTATTTTATTGCTTGAAAAAATCGCAGAAAATGGAATAAAATTTTTAGCAAAATGCTGAGCACTTAATGGATTTGGCGAACGAGTGTTAAGTGGCTTTGCCCATTTGGTTATTTTTCCCATCCAGCTGGCCAGTCCAGTCCAATGCAAATGCGTTTCCTCGCACGCAATGCGCGACAATCTATTTTCGTTTCGCCAACTCTTCAGGGATTTGTAGGGATTTTCAATTAGCGCAACATTTTTGCCCCTTTGCCAGATTGGTTTTATATGGCAAGCTCTTCACTGTGAGTTTCTGCAAAATGCTGTAGGCAATTTATTTTTGGGCCATATTTAAAAGTGACGCTAATTTATCCCACCGCCAGGCCAACTTTAATGAGTTCTTGCGCCAAAGTTGCAGCTGAGGACAACCGAAAACAGTACAACAAAAGGCTGAGGCTCTAAGCTAATTAGTCGCTTCTAAGGCAGATAATTACACAGTTGGCTGCGGGCGGGAAAACAAAGACTGGAAGTGGCCATAAAACCGCTAAACCGCAAAATAGGCGCAATAAATAAACGACGAGCCGTCCATCGCACAAAAGTACTTTTATCTCGACATTTTTGCTACGTTTTTTTTATAATGTGAAAATATATCTCAGGAACCGAAAACATAAAATCTGACAGCCGCAGTCTTGTCCTTAGTGTTTGTGTTGATTCGCCGTAAAGTGGCGTAAAGTTCTAGGGTAGGGGCGACAAAAAACAAACTAAATAATTATCCAACATTATTTACAGTCAACGCTTTTTCATGTCCTGTCTGTGGAGCTGGCTGCTCGGCTCCTCCTGTGTAATCTGTGAATGGCTGAACTGTATTTTAGCATAAAGTTTCAAGTGTCCAAGTGGAGAAACTACAAACTTGATGAGCTGACCTGGTCAGCAAGTTCAGGCCAGCAACAAGATATTACCCGGGTCCTTGGTCCTCTACAGCTAAGTGCAAACAAAGGCCGTTAAAGAGCTTTCGGTCCGGCTTTTGTTCATCTTACAGAATATTTTTGCCTTTGTTTTTGCTAGTTTTTATGTAGGTTAGTTGATGTTCTCCTACGGCTGTTGTGCAGTTTTTCGGGCTTATACTTGTTCTTGTTCTATTTTCCTGGTCGGAGGTAATGTTGATTAAAGGTTGATGAATGAACAGTTGGCCCTGGCCTGCTTAGCAAAATATTGTGCACTTTATTCCCAACTGCAGCCTTTAAAATGGGCTTAGATAAAGTACTTTTAGTGTAAATTGAACTAAAAGATTGCTTAGGCCAATAATTAAGTTTAGTCCTTTGGTGCATAGTTGGACTTTCAAGCACGTTTCAATGGAGAATAAAATCCACAATATTTCTCAGTCAGAAAATATTTATTTAGCACGTTTAAGCGTTGGCACGCAAATTAAATTTTATTTATAATTGCCAGCTGGGTGTGAAAAAGAGGAAAGGTGACAGAATGCTTAAAGTTAAATTGTGAAAAGGTAAAAAATTTTTTAAAACTTTTTACTTAAGTTAATGTTTTTGCCAAATTTCTATTAATAAACCTGATTTATAATCAAACTTTATGAAATTTTCTTTGATTTCCAAAAGTTTGGAAATCAGATTTGGTTTCGCTTTTAGGACAAATTATCGAAGATTTTAGTTGTCTCTTTTTGGAAGAGGGGGCACATTAATAGCAAAACTTGTGCGGCAAGATAATTTAGAAAGTTTGCTCGCTCCTTTCTGCGGCAAGGGACAAATTTAATGCACTTCAAGCCATGGCCAAGAAGAACTGGTAGTGAACTATTTTCGGTTCAATTCGGTACTCGGTTGTGGCTTTGGGTTTTGTGTCTTGCTGCTGTTGCAACTTTATGCTGTAATTGTTGCATTAAACTTTCCAGCATCCAAAGACACACAGGGCAACTAGAAATCGGGTGGGGGTTAGTCAGAGTTTTAGTAGCAGGGACGGATGATAGTGGTCCCCCACATTGACAGTCATTTGCCAACTAAGCGGATTACAAGTCGGCCAAAAACATTCACATTCCAAATGCACATTTCGAGTGTCTCCGAATCATTGTAGCATGAAAACTTGTTAAGTTCTGTGTCCTCTCTGCGTTTGCCTTTATACTTTAGTTTGCTTAAGTAGCATAAAGTTATTAATAAGTTTCCCTCCACTCAACCACTGCAACATATTCTCGGAAAATTCCCAGTCACTCTCCTTCTGTTTGTCGGGTAAACAGGACTTTTGCTCAGCAACAAAAAAGAAGTGTATACTGCCAAAAGAGAATCTCTCGTAGACTTGCATTTTATCATTTGCGCTTCAGTTGACAGGAATATTAACTTGGCTCTGACACAGTGGGGTTAAGCAAACAGCTAAGTAAAAATAATTAAAACTCTGGCTCGACTTCTCTCCAAAATGACAAGCCAGCCAAGGATGTTTCTTTGGTATTTCCCACCACCCCCTTGTTTTTTATTTTGGCTTTTAATGCCTCAGCATTTCTACTGGGCTAAGCGGATTCATTAGTTGCAATAACTGCCAGCTGACTTTCGCAAAGACGGGCACAAAGTTCATTTATAAGGAAAAAGCATTAAACATTTCTTCACTGGCGAGTTGATTTCATTTTATTTCTCTTTGGCCACTGAAGGCCGTCTTGAAATCATTATCTTCTTAAATTTCCAAAGCTTGTGTTTGTTTTTTATTGTCCAGTGACCTTAAACTTAGTGATTTTCTCAATAGATGTTCAAAAGAAATTTATTTATTATTATGTGCTATATGAATACCACAAAAGCAGCGACAAATAATTACGTACTATTTTCAATTAGATATTTAAAGTCTTAAAAGTATTTAAGAGTATTCCCACCTTCTGCAATGGCACGCAAGCTTACGCTTCCTTACATTTTCCAAGTGTGGAAACGCAAAAATGAAGAAGAACAACATTTTTTCTACATTTAATTACCTTCATTAAACGTAAATGGAGTTGTTGTTATGGCTCTGACAGTTAACAGACACCCAACAGACTCCCGGCCTGGCTTTAGGTATTTGTTTCACAATTTCACTTTGTTTTTTGCCTTAAAGCAAAAGAACAGCGGACTTTGTTGGGCAACAAAGAGGTTTAAATAATGAGAACAGGAGAGAAACTGTCGACTAACTTAATACGTATAATTTAAAAGAATGTCATACGAAAGAAGAGAGAATTTAGACAAACCATGAGAAGATAAATGCTGAATAAATAAATATTTATATAATATTTTTGGGAAAATAAATAAAATAGAAAATGTAACACAGATTTGTATAATATTATTATATTTTCTTTCAGTTCTCGCCCTGATCTTTGTGATATATAGCCGCAAACGTAAGACGACCAAAAAGAAGAAGCGCTCAGGTCCCGAGAAGGATGTCCGGGAGACAGTCATCAGCTACGAGGACGAGGGCGGCGGCGAGGATGACATGACGGCCTTCGACATTACGCCACTGCAAATACCAATCAGCGCCCAGGGAGGACCGCCGGACATTGCCGCCTGCAAGATGCCCATAATCTGTGAGTAAACACGGCAAAGAGGTGCCTGAGCACCCGAGTGCCCGAGTGGGACATGGCCAAGTAATTGGGCGGTTGTTTGCACTTAGACCCCGTGATGACGCTGCTGCCACCTGGCCAGGAGCTGAACGTGGCCTATCTGATGGAGGAGCGCAAGCAACGCATCGACAAGGACAGCAACGCACCGCCCTTCGACGACCTGAGGAACTTCACCTTCGAGGGCAGCGGCAGCATAGCTGAGTCGTTAAGCTCGCTAGCCTCCGGTAAGAATATTATATACACTTCCAATAATTCTGGAAAATGCGCCAAGAACTGGGATTCTAACATTTTAAATTGTTAAGATATTTCCTTTAAGATTTTGATTATAAATTTTAAAAAATTATATCGAAAATAAAAATGAGTAAAATCAATTTAAAACCAACGAAACTCTTAGTGAGTGTAAATTTAATTTCGCAGCTCAATCAAATATCTAAATTTGATGGCTATTTCCAACATCCTTGCCACCTTTGCCACAACTTCCCCTAACTTACGACTCCCCCTTGTCCAATTCCAGGCACTGATGATGAGAATCAAGACTTTAACTATCTACAGAACTGGGGTCCACGTTTCAATGCTCTGGCGGCTATGTACGTGCACGATAAGGCGAAAGCCAAGCAGCTCCCATCGGATGGCGGAGGAGGATCTACGGATGGACCCGGAGCCTCATCATCATCGCCATTGGGAGCAGGAGGTGGCGGAGTCTTGATACCGGGCGATGTCCTAGCCGTGGTGGCAACGGGAAGCGGGGCAGGTCCTGGAGGCGGCGGCGGTGCCAGTGGGTTAATGGCCCTGGCTGATGTCGACAAAGTTGTATTATAAAAATAAATAGTTAAGTTGTAGTTAAAATGATGTTTCAGCTGTAAGCACTAGGGTGGGAGCAAACTCCCAACCGAAAACAGGTGTTTTGTGTATTCGTGTGTCTGGTTAGGGTTAATTGTATGTACTTGTGGCTAACTGTGGAATTTAAGACTAACTTAAGGTTTTAGGTGTTTTCTCAAATCTCACATAGGATATTGAGGGGCTTAAATGGATATCTGGTTATAACCATAGAATATATCCTTCTCTCGCTTCTCCCTGAAACTACACAATGAAATCGACTTTCTATTCAATTTAGGAATTACGCATATTTAATTACAAATAATATTTAAAACATTTATAGATCCTGTTAAACTGTATTCTGTTATTCTATGGCTAAAGCTGTTTTAGAAATAGTAAAATTAAATGCTACTTGTGTTATTGTGTCCTATTTTTAAAGATTAATATTAAAATGCATTTAAGCTTTAAACCTATCGCTTATCCACGAGATAATGCTAAACTATCGAGGATATAACATTCCCTTGACACCTTCTTTCAAGAATCTTTCTGTGTCTTCCTTTCAAAGCTCATCTTATCGATGACATTCAACTGAACCAACTGAGAAATCAATGAGTAGTAAAAACAAATAAAACGATATGACTATATTAAGCATACTACAATGAAAAAGAGTTTATAAAACTTGCTATATATTAGTTAAAGGCCCTGTATAAATACGGCGTTAACTCTATAGCACGTAAGTTGAACCAAAATGAAACTAAACCGAAATTTCAACCATCCTCCCAGAAAATGTTGAGCGTTGCAACTTTTGTGTGCCACCAACAGGGGGAACGTGTCCGATTGCCACCAAACCAGGTGGCACCTGAAAACCGTGGGTAGAAAAACCAACGCTGAAAGCTGCCACCAAAACCCATGCAGCCACAAAAGTTTGCAGAGCAAAGTAGAAATTTAATAAGAGGAAAAAAATCATAACTAACTTTGGTGAAAATTAAAGGTAAATGAGGGAAACTCTACTGTAACATAATTTTTGTACATACGAAATTCTGTAATTCTACAATTAAATTAATGGCTATTATAGCGGAGAAATACAAAATAAACATAAAACAACTAATAGACTAATTAACTACAATTAAACCTACATTTAATTACCGACATAAAAAAGAAACAGAAGCCGAAAACAATTACGAGTGTTGATCAAACCAATTTCATATTTCTGCATTTACTAGTAACTACACAACCAGTACAGAAAATGAAAGTATTAATAATAATATTGTAATATGTATTAAATTATGAGTCATACAAAAAAATAAATGGTTATTACATTTACGTTAGTTAATGGACAATTTGTTAGTAGTTAGCATCTAAGCATAATTTTTAAAAAAAATCAATAAAGACCCAAGAAAAAATAATTCCAATTTCATGAACCATAATTTCCATGCCAATATCCTCTGTACTCTATGATTTTTCTACGATTTCTGGATGTTAGCCAATCCGGCAATCCGCTTGTTGACACTGCCTAATGATCCTTGATGCCTCCACTTCCGGACCAGACATTGCGGCATTTGGTGGCCTAAACGCGCCGTTAAGTCCCGGCAAAGGTGTCCAAATGGAAGCCCCAGAAAGGAAGCCACTTTCGGCGCCTCCTCCAAAGCCAAAGTTCAACGGAGCGTTTGACAGGGCAACATGCATTGCCTCTTACAGAAACCAGAAACTGTCAGCCAGGCAACTGGATGAACCGCCAGTTCTTCTAGGCCGTAAAAAATGTTGAGCAGTGACCTTTGAAATTTTCGGTTCATGTTGCCACTTTTTTTCCTGGCCCTTAAACTTCTCTGTGGATTTACCAGGGAAAAAACATTTTACAGCGCATAATAAATGAGCCAGGCCGAGCTATCGATATGAAATATGGTCACCAGCCATCAATTTATCCTGACTCCTCTGCTTATCCCACTTAACTTCTCTTTATGGGATAAATAAATTGATGCTTTATATTTACCGTTAAAAGTCGGTTAAATTAAGTTAAGAACCGTGTTATTCTTACTGCGGTGATTACATGAACTCGTCGATATTTCCAAAACCATTTCAATCCAGCTCACGAAAATGTTACTGTGGACTAATTCTGCTTATTTTAGAAATGATTTTAACTAATCAATAATAATGTAATTAAATACTAATGTCTGTTACAACCTCTGGAAATTAAATATGGTTCAAGTATTTCTAGAAACATCACAATGTCTAATATTCTCATTAATTCTTCCCCGACCACAAATATTTGTATAGTTTCAAATTTAAAGGAAATTACAAATTTAATATGCATTTATGCTTCCCTATCAGCAGTAGCTAATTATCATGTATACAGCATAAGCAGAAGGTAAAGATGAGTGCTCTTAATTAGTGAACGCTTAACTGATTTTCAGACTAAAATGCCGTTACTAAACTATGTTTTATTGAAATATTGACTTTCAATCTAATTAATATCATAACCTTTATAAAAGTAACAACTTTTCCAGTTTTATCTGTATTATCATGCTCTTAAAAAATGACACAATATGCTTTTAAGTCAATTAAGTGCTGTATTCATTACAAACATTGGGCTCAATACTATCACTAATACATATTTATGCAAATATTTGGAAAACGTAGCGAGACGGAAATACAGCTGCATTATTTGTATCCAAATTGTATGCTAATTACACGGATTTTCGCCTGATTTGCCGCATGAACTTGCATTTTCGTCGTTGGACAGAATAAATTATTAATAAAAATCATGCAATTTGCTTAATTATTTTTGGCCCCGATTTGTTTCGCCGCTCGCTTCTAAAAATATTTGTGGATTACCTTTTGGCCAGCGAACTGCCGAATTCCTCATTCAAGCTCCAACGCCGCTTTGTTTTCCATTTGGAAATTTCCATTTCCATTCGCTGGCCATTACTTAACAAAAATACCCAGAAACATTAGCCTGGATGTTGTTATTATTTTTAATTGAATTTTTGGTCTGTCGGGAGGTATGTGATGTTTGGACTTAGAGCGAATGCATTTAAGGTATTTACCTCGTCATTTTCCTAGCAATAATTGCTGTCGAAAATGCGCAAAACTGTATAATTAATATTCGTTGAAATTCAGAATAAATAAGCACATTATCATCAGGCTCAATTACATGTTCGAATATTTATTCGAAAATTGGGAAATTGAATGGAAATTGGTAAAAAAATAAACTCAAAAGAAATTTATCCTTAAAATGTTATTTATTTTTCTAGGCAGCTACAGTAATTTTACGTACGCTGTAAATATATACGGTATATATATTAGGGTAGAACCTAACTTAAGGAAAACGAAACCAACTATTATCTACTTATATTGATTATTAAAAATAAAAATTAAATGAGACTTTGCTTTCTATAGCAGCTAACTCTAGACAGTCAACAATTTCTATGGCGCCATCTACATTAGAACTTTTATAGTAAAAGAGTGCAAGCTACAGATGGCGATTTTTACATTTTCCACGAATTGGCGCCACCTAGATGTGATAAAGGCTTTGCAAGTGCAGGATAAGTCATATTAGTTTTGGGCTTATCTGGCAACGGTATTCGCTACGTATTTAGTGGATTTAAATTAAAAAAAATAAAATGATATAGGCATTAATAATAATGCCATAATGTTAACAAATTTTGCATATTAATTTTAAGAATAGAAATAAATATGAAACAGGTTGCAATTCTAACAATTATAATATAATAAGATAATATTCCTAAAAATCAAAACCAAACTGTGATTAAAAATTTCATAGCAATTTACAAGTTTAAGGTTTTAATATATTTTTAGAAGAGGTTGGAGACATTCAACATCTATAGAAAGAACAAGAAATTACATTAATATTGACACCCTGGCAACCAAAGCTAATCAAGCCACTTCATTCAGGAAAACAATTGTTAAAGAAGCGAGAAAATGTCGGGAAAGAGGCCAGAAAAAAGCGATTCTCACGCCCAAACGGGCCGCCATATAAAAAAAAGCTCCTCATCGAGTAGTTAGCTCCCCATGGAGATGCTCTTCAAGCCACTTGCTGCTAATGCGAAACAAACGAAGGGCGAAATTTTCGAGAGAAGCAACCATGGACCACACGTCGAGTATAACAATCAATCATACAATTAATAATTCAACGTCTCAGCTAAGAGACAGAAGAAAAAATACCTGGCCGGGCTGTCAAAACTACCAGAAAAGCCGAAAACATCGAAATAAATACGTTTAATCAATGGGAAATTAAATTTAATTAGCGTGGCCCAAAGCCAAAAAAGAAGGGGGCTGACAACGAAACGTTGCCAGTTTTATTTATTTCTAGTTAAATAAATCAATTTAAATTACTAAATTGTCGCCGTAACGTTGACAGGCAAAAGCTTTATAAAAAAAAGGGCAGGTATAAAAAAGTGTAAAGACAAAGTGTAGCCGAGTTTATAATACGCTTTGTATAAGTATACAAAAATATTTCTTTAGTTAATACCCGAAAATATATAATAGTTAAAAAAAACATTGAAAAATATTCAAAGAATAAACGGAGGCATATTATTTTTAAATACTTTCCAAATAGGCTCTTTAAGACTATATATTTTTATTATTATCATTAAAACCAACTTTTAAAATAAACCAATGAACTCATCTCACCGCAAACCTCGGAACTGTTGAGTGTTGAAATTCGTTTTTAATGACAAATGAAAAACGGCGATAATTTCGTGTCAAACACAGAATAGGTGGAGAAGTGGATGGAGACTGACATATGCCCCGATACATATTTAATTAATGACGTTTTTAATCAACGCACAATTTGTTAATAATTAAAATAGACATGCCTAACAAGCAGTCAGCAAAAATATAAGTTTATATTAATACATGTTAAGCGATTTTTTACGCTCTACGCTGTTCTATGACTGAAAATCAATAATGAGCTGCCAACTGGAGGCTGTGTTGGGGAACATTTTCGGTTCTGTTCTGGATAAAGTGTTTGAGTTTCACGTTTTCTGTTTTTGTTTGCTTGTCGTTGACCTTTGCCAAATGACCGCCGGTTGCCGTTCGCTCTTGATGTTTGTGGATAAAGGCCGCCTTTAAAACTTTTTGAGTGGATCTACGTTTTTATATTTTTTACTGATGGACATTGACGTGAAAACGGTGGAGAATATCCTTAAATTGCTTAAAGTCGTGGAATATTTACATATACAATAAAGAAGAGCACTTAGCACATCTACTTTCCAAATTTTAATAGTTTTTCAAAACTTGTATTTGCTATTCATTATTATTTTAATTTACTTTTGATTTGTGTATTTCTTATTATGTTCTATTTTATAAATCTTTTATCTCCATTTCTTTACCGATCAAAAATAAAATGAATACCTACTAATTTGTTTGCGAAAACTTTGTTTGGATCAAGGCTAGCAAGTTGACCCCTTACACATTCTATCCATTTGTCTCTCATAAATAAGGGATACCCACAACTCTGACCCCCTTTTCTGTCTCTTCCCCCGCCTAAATACCCTTTTAATTTTAGTTGTTCCTTTTGGCCAGATGCTCCTGCGTTTGGCCAAACTTTTGGAGCTGACACTTTTATCGGACTCATGGCCAAAATGCAGGCAAAAGCATTTTTTTTTTCTTTAATATTTTTTTGCACGTTTTGTCAAAAACTTTTGTGTCTGAAAGAGGATGCGACAGTTTTAATGAATGACGAACGAAACGCACACTGGAAATATTATAAAACACTTTGGAATGTAATACCAAACAATATTTTCTATATAATAAATACAAATGAAATATTGAGCCAATTTTATATATATTTTTCCTTCCTTCTTTTTTTTAATTGTAATTATCATATAAAAAATATTTCTATATGCATTTTTATCGATAAAAGAAGTAATTTTTCTCAGTGTGACTTCATAAGACGGACTAGCTGACTGACTGACATGAATCCCGGGACCGAAACCGCATTGGATCCCCTGGTTTTCGGGCTTGAAGCGGAACTGTCCGCAGCACACCTTACGCACGTCTTTCCAACTAATTTCTCTGCGCTTCTCAACTTTCCCGCCTCGGTATTAGACCAAGTTTTCGGCCCTGCCAGAAGTTTATTAACTGTCCCCCGACATCAGCTCCTCCCCGCGTTTCGATTCCCCTCATAACCGCGATTCTAAACGGCTCTCACACAAATTTTGGTATGGTCACGGAGGATGGTGGTGTTAGAGTGCTATAGAGGGGGTCTCGAACTTGGCAACTTGGGAGCAATTTGAAAAGCGTGGCATTGTTGCTGCGGTCTCTTATGTTGCTGCTGTGTCGGTTAGATGTTGCTGCTGGGCCCGTTGATGTAGCTGCTGTTACGCTTGTTGTTGCTGGTTTTTATGGTCTTCCAGATGTTTTTTTTTTTTTTTCGCTGATTTTC